ACGAACTAGCGGTAACTGTATACTTTTCTTAAATATCTTTTAAAGAATAATTAAGAAAAGCATGTGTAAAGTCTACAGTTTATCTGTACGAAACAAAACATAATAAACAACTTTCTAAAGTTAAATCAGTGACAACACTGATTCGTCTTCAAAAAAAAAGCTTTTGAAGAAAAACACTTCAACAACTTATGTAAAAATTGTTATCTGGTTTCTGAATCAATGTATATATTTTATAATATATCAAAGAACTGAAATTTACAACATCGTATTTATCAGAAATATTTATAGCATAAGCTTGATAATGAACATTAAAATAGTTCGCAAACAAATATCGTACAGTTACAAAAAATCAGATACAGATAAGGTGTCGGATGCAATATTATTATTTTTCCAAATATCAGCAATTTCCGTAAATATGGGAGCACCATCGTCATCAATATGTAGCAAAACAACTAATCCTTTCTTTAAGGATATATTTTCAAAAGAAACATTCTTTAATAGAGTATAATTTGTATAGTTCTGTAATAAACTGTTATTATTGTTATATGATGTTTCGCCTAGAACCTGAATGACCACAGAGAGTGAAGCGGCCTAACAGTTTTCATAATGCGAGGATAATGCAACATTAGGTGATGTTTCGGTTTCAATGTTTCGCCAAACAAGTCAACATATAACAAATGATGTTCATTAATTAAGTTCTCTAATAGATCTGCTGTCGATTTTATAACACTGTCTTGAAGTGTTATAAGAAGGATTTTTCGCAATAATATGAAAAGTTGCCAATATTTGTCATCCGGATTGATTATAAGATCACCTACAATTAAACCAAAGTTTAATATCAAACTGAGCATTTCAGAAGCTGACATAGTAATGCTTTTGTTAAGCAATTGCGATTTAGATATTGTAAGAGGTCGGTTCGCCACAGGACCAAAATTAAAAAACTGTAAACGCCAGTTCAAGGTATCTAACGTGAAATATTGTTCTTCTATAATGCAGTAGCGTAAAATGCTATTCATTTCATATACACATACGCCTTCTAGTAAATCATGCATTACATCTACGCTATAATTTTCAACTGCATGAAAAGTATCTAAAATGTTAAATGCGCACATTTCTTTGATTCCTGTGAAACTTACATTGTTCGTTGCAATATCCTGTGCGTAATTGATTTTATTGCGTAATGCGCTAAAATTTTCGCTACATAATTTACAAGAAATATCTTTTGGTACTTTACAGAATCGACAGCAGAAAGTAGCAGAAAAACTTTCGACAAATCCTAAAATACTATGTAATCCCAAATTGTCTTGTAAATTATAATTAACGCGAGTTTGAAATACAGTTTGATATCTATAGATTTTACAACTAATGTAATGCCTTCTTTTTCTAAAAACATTAATTCGCCGATTAAATAGGAATATATTTTTTCTTTTGGAAATATTTTGCTATCTTGTGCGTGGTACAATTGTGCGAGAAAAATATTATTTAATTTGGAGTGCAATTCCCGTGGTAAACAGGGTATTGAAATGTACATACCACATTTATATATACCAGCATGCGATCCAAGTGGATTTGCAATCTTAAAGGCATCCTCGTACAAAAATAAAGGAAAAGTAAAGGAATTTTCTTTTGAGGTGTTCCCTATTTTCGGTTTCCAAAAGTCGGTTTGTATAATGTTGGAAACTTCGCCAGCATCATCTAATATTGCAATATACTCGCATGTTTTTGTAAATACATCACTTATTTCAAAGTATATTTCTAAAACTTTTCTCAACGGTATTAATTGCCCATACACGTTTTGAGTTTTTACTTCAATGTTATTTCTAACTTCCATTGTTCCAAAAAATATTTTTACAGGTTTAATATTATGTCCCATATCCGTTAAAAGTTTGTTTCTTTTATATTCGCTGTCTATGTCATTGAAAACATTTTGAAAGATGTTAAATTGTTCAATTATATAATCCGAATCTAGTGATTCCATGAGAGATATTCTTTCTTTAATATTATTTATAAATTTGGTGTTAAGAAAAGAATGGAATAAACACGTAATACGATCAATTTGTAGGCGTGATAAAGTTGCATCAGCATGTGACGAAGACATAAGTTGCAACGCAAGTATACGAAGTTCGTTATGTGCATTTTTATTGCTGCAATCTTCATGAACATATCTATGTTCGTATTATTGCAATCAGATTCGATTATATCGCTACAACTATTTACTTCAAAAGTCGTATCATTAACATTTTTCGAAATATTATTTTCAGATAATACAGCTGCTTGCAAATGTTTAGCACGCCTTTTATGTTGACAAATAGCTTTATAATCAGAAAAAGTACGATTACAATCCTGGAAAGTATAAGTGTATTTCACACTAGTAACACTGTTATGATGCTCAAAACGTGTATGTAGCTTTATATACCTTTTGGGAAAAGTTTTGCGATAATATGTACACTTCATCATTTTTACTTCTCTAAATAAGTTACCAATGCAAAAACTGACAACTGAAATATCTTACTCACGAGTAAGCATGAGTTGTTGTATATCATGCCACGTGGTATCGACAGTAATAAAATTTGGTTGGTACTTTTGTTTAGTAATACTATAGACACGCTTTTGCAAAAAGTACCAAACAACTTCCGAATCCGCAGGATATGATGCATTTAGCGCAAAAAAGGTTTGGAAACATAAATTGATTGCGTTCATTACACTAGTGGATGCGTACTTAACATTGTTAACAATGACGTAAAACGATGTTAAGTGTACAATAGAACCCACGATAACTACCGTAGGCTGAAGCGTTAATCCATAGATTTCTAGTTTTTCTCTTCGTTTCTGAAGTTTTGGTTCGAGGTCTGCCACGTTCTAACAAATAAATGTAACAAAAAACGCAAATCACTTGCTATTGGGTTGGCAAGAAAGTAATTTCGGTTTGCGCCAATAGATAGCGTTATGTTTGTGTCGTTATTCTTCTGTCAATGTTATAATTTTTTTCTTTTCAGATTTGGTAGTTGACACTCTTAGGTTACTATAAAAACAAATTCCGTATAATTTTGTTTACAACTGTTGGTTTACGGTCAATTTTAACATGGAGTGCAAAAATGATCATTTTCGACATATTTTACTTTTTTATTTTCGTAAAGGCAAGAAAGCGACTGAGGCTCACAAAGAGATATGTGAAGTTTATGGTGTTGGTTGCATAACAGAACGCACGTGTCAGAATTGGTTTAAAAAATTTCGTTCTAGAGATTTTTCACATAAAGATGACCAACGTTCTGGCCGATCTTCTGAAGTTGATGAAGACAAAATGAAAGCCATAATTGAATCAAATCGTCATATAACTGTGCGAGAGATTGCAAAAAGGTTAAATGTGTCACACAGAATAATTGAAAATCATATAAGACGCCTTGGACTCGTTAAGAAGCTGGATATTTGGGTTCCGCACGAATTGAGAGAAATTCACTTAACACAACGGATCAATATTTGCGATATGCATTTCAAACGTAATGCAATCGATCCTTTTTTGAAGCGAATTATCACTGGTGATAAAAAAATGGATCGTCTACAACAACATTAATCGAAAAAGATCATGGTCCAAGCATAATGAATCGGCACAAACCGTATCAAAAGCTGAATTGCATCAAAAAAAGGTCATGCTGTCAATTTGGTGGGATTATAAAGGTGTTGTGTATTTTGAAATTCTTCCAAGCAACCAAACGATCAACTCAGATATTTACTGCCAACAACTTATGAAATTGAAGGAAGCAATCAAAGAGAAAAGGCCAGAATTGGCAAAGTGTAAAGGAATCGTGTTCCACCATGACAATGCGAGGCCCCATATATCTTTAGCAATACATACGAAATTATTGGAGCTTGGTTGGGAAGTGATGTCGCATCCTCCATATCGCCCCGACCTTGCACCATCGAATTATCATTTATTTCGAAGTTTACAAAACTTTTTAAACGGTAAAAGTTTCAGCAACAACGATGATCTCAAATCGTACTTGGTTGAGTATTCCGCTGATAAGGACCAGCAGTTCTATGAGCGCGGAATCATGAAGCTACCAGAAATATGGAAAAAGGTCATCGAACAGGATGGGAAATATTTGACCGATTAAAGTTTGTATAGAAAAAATTGAGTTTTATTTCACACTAAAAAACCGAAATTACTTTCTTGCCAACCTAATAATTTACGTTGTAGCACATATGTGGAATTAAAAGAATATATGTAGTAGTAAGAGAGCGATCAACAAGCTGCGGATCTATACGAGACTACCTTACATAAAAAAAGAGGAAGAGAATCGCCGGAGAGTAGGAAGAAACAAGTAAAGCGACCAGCCGGCAGGGCAAGCACGTGCAGCGTTCACGAATATAAGTAAAGCAAACTTTTAAGTACGAAAGAAAATAAAGATAAACAGTTACGAGGGTTGCCTTTTATATTTCGGGAATGGACGATCCAGGTGCTGCCATCTGACAACCGACGTTCCTAACGTAAAATTCGACTTTTTGTCAGTATACTTACTCAGAACGTTTTAATGTCCATGCGCCATTTGTGTTGTTTACAGTGACATGAAAAATTGATGTCGGCCAAGAAATGGAATTAAGTCGTGAACATTTCCGTGCGATTATTTTTTATAACTTTCGACGTGGATTATCTCAACAGTGCATCGATGAACTTAATTCGACTTTTGGCGATGAAGCACCATCAAAAACCACTATATATCGATAGTATACGGAATTCAATCGTGGCCGTAGTTCGCTTAGTGATGAATTTCGTGAAGGTCGTCCAAAATCGGTTGTTGTTCCAGAAAACATTGATGCGTGAACTGATATTGCAAGATCGTCATGTGACTTATCGTGAGATTGAGGTATCCTTGGGCATTAGTGGGACCAGCATACATCCAATATTGCATTAACATTTGGCTGTCAAAAAAATTTGTTCGCGTTGGATCCCACATAATTTAACAATCGCTCAAAAAAAGGCTCGTGTTGATTGGTCGAAAGAAATGCTCAAGAAATACGATTGCGGTGCTTCAAAACACGTCTATGATATCGTAACAGGTGACGAATCATGGATCTATGCGTATGAGCCCGAAAGTAAACAGCAGTCGATTGTATGGGTCTTTCAAGATGAACCAAATCCAACAAAAGTTATTCGCGCATGAAGCACTTCGAAGCAAATGGTCGCCTGTTTTTTCGGAAAAACCGGACATGTGGCAACTGTACCATTAGTGCAATGTCGGACGGTCAATTCTGAATGATACACAACCATTTGTTTGTCAGAAGTCTTCGGAAAAATAAAGGAAACCAACCGCCGAAGACACATCATTCTCCACCAGGACAATGCGAGCTCTCACACATTGGCTCAAACAAGAGACTTTTTGAAAACTGAAAAAGTCGAATTGATGGGTCATCCGCCATACAGCCCTGATTTGGCACCTAATGACTTCTTTTTATTCCTGCAAATCAAAAATAAATTACGAGGTCATCGTTTTTCGACGCCTGAAGAAGCGGTTGATGCGTTCAAAATGTATGTTTTGGAGGTACCTCAATCGGAGTGGAAAAAGTGCTTCGAAAATTGGTTCAAGCGCTTGCAAAAGTGTATTGATCTTCATGGAAAATATTTTGAGAAACAATAAACCCATGTACGATGATTAATTTCCTTTTTTTGTTCTCTATTCCCGAAATATAAAAGGCAACCCTCGTAGAAACGAACAGTATAGAAAATTTTAAACAACCTAAGCGTGACAAAAATGTTCACTAAAATACTGCTGTTACGTCCTAGAGGAGGAGCGCAACTTTTCCGTTCGTGGTAAAGCGCGTTCGTACACGGGTGTCAGGGAACGGGTCAGGAACCCGACGAGCCCCTTTACTCGCTCGCTGACGTACGACGAGCGATCCGTTTTTCAGTCAGGAACGCGAATCCCTTTATCGGGGATAAGACCATGAGTCGACTGTTGGAAGATGGGGTGATTTTGAAATTAATTAATGGAAAATTAGATATTTAACAAATTTATTAAAATACAGATGACAAACAAAATGATATAACGGCGCGGTTTAAAATATGACAATTTATGGTTATGCGAATGATGGAATGTGTATGTGTGTCTGTTTGTACGAGAGGAAAGAAGAAAAGGAGAGAACAAGGAAAGGGAAGGAATACGAATTAGTAGTCAGGTGAAGAGGAACGAGAGCGGTCAGGTGAATTTAGTTCCGAGAATGAAATGGGGAATAGGATATCGGAGGGACAGAAGGAGTGGACGCGCGTGTAGGAGAAGAGGAAGGAGTACCCGGAGGAAAATGGGGGAGAAGGTAAAGAGGTAGGAGCGTAGGATCTGGGTGGTAGTCGATTCCTAGCGCTATGTTAACTATCGCTCGGAGATAGTGGACCCGAGATGCTAGTTGGTCGGGATCTCTGGTATTAAAAATCGATTCGAGCGTTTGGAAAATGCTCTCGATAGTTACTCCAATGTTGTGATAATAACCCACTAAAACCGGATTTCAATAATAGGGGGAATTAATAAAATGGTTATAGGAAGGGTAGATGATAAAGAAAGTAAAACTTACTGTTGGTTCCAAAGCAGAGAGAGAGAGAGAGAGAGAGAGAGAGAGAGAGAGAGAGAGAGAGAGAGAGAGAGAGAGAGAGAGAGAGAGAGAGCAACCACAAGAAAATGTTGCTGATTTGCGTAGGTGTGCAACGCTGGCTCTGTCGCTTTCGGATTTCCAATTCGTCAACGGCGATGTTACACACAACTATGTTCTCTTTTTTAGGCAGCGGATGATAATTAAACTTCGAAAGAACGTTTAGACCAACTCCACGTTTAAATGCCTGAGTGTAAAAATTAAACGACAAAAGAAAGATCTTTGGATGTCAAACTTGTGGTTCTAACTCGGGTGCTGGTCAGGCGAATAATGTGCTAGCCTTTTCGTTTTACTTAAAACGTCACCTCGGTTGAGAAGATGGGGTTGTGGAAATTGTAAACTTTGTTGTTAACATTTTCGGAGGTGGGAGTTTAGAATTGAGTCAAGGTCTAAAGTTTATTAGAACTTTTCCAGAGGCGGGATTTTGGAGTTGCGTTGCATTGTTGTATCTAAGGATGGAGTATCTATGGCGATAAGAGATTTCGTCATCCCGTTAGGTTTAATGAGAATTAGTGGGTAATATGACGGGACGTAGAAAAGTTGTGAGTTCGTGAGAATGTGATTCAATGGATTTTCCTGACAAACAACTAGAGGACTTTGGTCTAGGGGGAGATAAAGAAAAAAGAGAAATCGGTGTGTAATGATCGGTCATCGTGTTCGAAGGGTCGCGAAACATGTTTGTTGAATCTATCATTTAAAGTGTCAATTCGCTCTATTTATAAAAGATCTAGAATACGCAGAGACCGCAGGACGGAACACTGCAAAGGATGGATAATACAGAAAAGGAAAGAAAGGAAGAATATAAGATGTTAACCAAGGAAATCAGTAGCATACGCAACGCAATGCGGACAACACTGACGGTGCAAGAAAAAAAGATAGAAGATAAGTTAGATTACAAGATAGTCGAAACGGAGAGTCGATTGGCTGCAAAAATTGCAGAACTGAAAAACAGAATAGAGAAATGGAGAGAAAAGGAAAGCACACAAGAAGTACAAAACGAAATGCACACAAAATTACAGAATATGGAATGGAAACTAGAAATGCAGGAAAGAAAAGATAAAAAAGAAAATGTAATTATCAGAGGACTAGAAACAGGTCAAGATTTAAGTAAACTAAAAGAGAAAGTAGAAAAATTCTTCAAGGAAAGATTGAATATAGAAGCAGAAATAGAAAAAACGAGAATAATCGAAAATGGAAAATTAATACAAGCACGGCTGAAGGCAAAGGACAAAAAAGATTTGATTATAAGAGAAAAAAATAAACTGGGAAAAGAACCAATTTTCATAGATAATAGCAGGACGAAGAAGGAAACAGAAACACAAAAAGGAAATTGTAGAAACAGCTAAACGTGAAAAGAGCACGTGCCGTGCTTTTCCTTTCTTTCCTTTTCTGTATTATCCATCCTTTGCAATATTTTAGTGAACATTTTTGTCATGCTTAGATTGCTTAAATCTTCTATACTGTTCATTTCTAACTGTTTATCTTTATTTTCCTTTCGTACTTAAAAGTTTGCTTTACTTATATTATATTCGTGGACGCTGCACGTGCTTGCCAAGGAAAGAGAAGTTATTATTAAATATATGAAAATGAAGGTTGATGACGAATGGTACAAATAAAACAAAACAAACAACAAATTTGAAGTTATGACAAAATTTAGAAAGGAGAATGGAACACAACAAGCAAAAGAAATATAAAGAAACATAGGGAACAGATAACAAGAAAAGAAGAAAATGAAGAAAAAAAAGGAAGATATAAGATAGTTTGCAGAAATGTTTGCAGGAATAAGTAACAAAGATGAGAAATTTGGGAAATATATGAGAAAGTTTGATGTCGTCAAGCTAACAGAAATTTGGATATAAGAGCGACCTTGGAAGAAAACTGAACCAAATCTACCGAAAGAATATGAATGAAATATGCAACCATCAAGCAAATATTAAGAAAAAGAAAACATAAAGAGAAAGGAAGCAAACAGTCAAAATCAGTAGTGGACTACAAGAAGTGGAAGGTACAAGTAAAACAAAAATATTTAGCACAGAAAAGTAAAGGAAAACGGCTGAAAATGATAGCAATAATCAGATGTTGCAATAAGTGGAAGGCAAACAAATATTGGGAAAAAAAAGAGAAGAGAGTATGCAGAATATATACAAAAGGAAAAGAAACATTGCAACATTAAAGGGAAGAATGCAAAGATACAAAAGACATTAATAAAACTGAAACAGAATTAAAGGATGAATATAGAAAAGGTTCATATTGGATGTAGAAAGTAATTGGAGAAAGGGAGATGGAAGATAGAAGATGATGTATTACAACGTAATATTGGCAAGCAGTTTCTTACTTCTGACATCATAAAGCAGGACTTTTTCGGCGAAGACTCAGAAGTCTCAAGGAAAAAGTGTCGACACACTTGAGGTCTTAGGTCACCTTGACGCCCAAAAAAAGCATGTTTCTCTGCAATTTTTTTAAATAAATAGTGAAGTAAAATAAAACTCTAATTTAATATTATAAATATATAAGTGTAAGAGTATATAAAAAAATTTCTTTGATTTCTAAAGTGCAAAATAGCGGCGTAGGAGTCGTCCATTTTTGTGCCGTTTTAAAAAAGCTTTCTGCAGCACGCAGCAAAAGTCGTCGGCATTTGAACCTGGAACAAATTACAAAATTTTTTCATAATCTACATTAAATTGACTAGAGAAGTACATAGGGATATGTCAAAAATTGATTTTTATAAAAATGATGAGCATTCAAATAAGAGATACCATTATTAATAATGGCTCAAATGCTCACACAATGTATTCGAATTTTAAATCAGATTTGCCTGAAATTTTTGTTATATATAATGAAAAAAATATTTACAGGAACAAGAAAAATGAAACTTTCCGCAACCTCTGCTTTAGATGGTTTGCATTTTTTTTATTACCACTTTTTATATTATGGTATTTAAATAAATAAGGAAGTATGAGGAGGCTCAGTGTTTCTATAGATATATCTGCAAACAAATTTTACATTATGTTATGTTAAGCTTCCCTTCCCTTTTTCACGTATTACTTCAATTTTAAAAACAACTTCGAAAATAAAATAAAAGATTTTATATGAAAAAGTTATTTATATTCATTAGAAAGTTACAGGTACTTTGAGATACATACCATTTCTTAGCTCACACAAGGATGGACATGCTTCTGTTTTTTCTGCATAAAGCAATATATACGGAGCAATTTCGGACCATTTTTGAAAAATATTGTATCTATTTTTGCCTTTTAAATATTGTACCTGTTTCTGCTTGAAAATCAATCTGTAAATGTATAACCACTGATTTTGTACATAACATATATTTAATACTTATTATGACAGTGAAAACTGAAATATAAAAACATTAAAATAAAATATATTATTACCAACTTAGCACCAATGGCTGTCTTTAAAATGGGGTACTCTTCATAATACTCTGTAATTGAAGGTTTCCTGTCTCTAGCTTTAAATCTCTCTTGCCACAAATGTTCCACATTTTTATCTTCTGGTCGAATAGCACGTAATACAATTAACGTATCTTGACAATCAGGTGTGATGTTTTCTTTTTCTTGGCAAACATCTCTGTGTTGTTTGACGAACTTCTTCAAATTATTATATTTGTCCCACAACTTATCATTTGCAAAACGTTTTATTTTTGCATTACTTGATACGTAATATGTGGACGCCTTTTCGCTCTTAAAGAGGCTTACAATTTCAATAGTCCACTCTTTAAATTCCTCTGTCCTTACCCTATAATAAAAAATAAAACGAAAGAAAAGAGTACAAAGAGAATCCCGTACATTTCGATGCTGTACTATAAATACATATATACATACTTGATAGATTTACTAAGAAGCTTCTCAATAATTATTTGACATATTTTATTTCGATCAGACGGACTTAATACCGTTTGTGACAGTAATTTTTTGCCGGTACCAGATTCTGTCAGTAATTGTCTTAGTTTCTGCAAAATATGTAATGAGATTGACAATTCGTAAAATGTCTCTTTCACTCTTTCAGTACTTTTTCACTAAGTAAAATGCTAGGAAGTTGACAATAACTTTAATGAGAACATTTCTTGTCATTGCATCTAGTTGTATCTTATTAAGTATCTAGTTAAAAACATATGAGGAGCGGAAAAACCAAACGCTTTAATAGCGTTAAGATCGTATAAAACTCAGACAACGGCAATATAGAGAAAATAATTTTAAAATAGTGATAATTTTGTCAAGAAAGGAAACATGAAAAAGAATATAAAATGCCAATATATAGAATATAAAAAAAGAATATATAAAGCCAATGATATAGAAAAACTAAAATACACATATATATATAGAATATAAAAAAAATTAATATGGATACTTAAAATTATTAGTATGTATACCTTTCCACAATTAAGAGATGTGTTTGTCATTGAACTACTGGTACTTGGACATGAATCATCATGTTCATTAATATGCGACACATGTATGTCAATCCTGTTATCCTCAGTTTCTATTACATAGTCTTCAAGTATGCTTTCTTGTGGCAACGTTTGTGGTATTTCATTTGTGGTAAGATTATCCTCAAATTCAGATAGACTTCTAATATCCTAAAATGACAATATTTACATTCCATAAACCCCACAAGAACTTGAATAAAAACAGTTAATCTTTGTCTGACATAAATTTTCAATTGGAGCTATATTCTGATGCTTCTGTACTGTACACTGATAAATTGTTTTATGATTTTGTTACTTTGCAAGATCTAGCATGAAAACTTGGTCACACTATAATGTGCAACATTCCAACAGGGCGTATTTAAAAGTATTAAATATATGACTGCGTTAAGATCTTATACAACCATGCTACTATATGAGTTACAAGAATAAGCGATATATATTTCTTCACTTTTATCATTACACAATAAAACATAAATATATGTAGGATTTGACGAATACCCGACAGGTTGGGAAGTAAGCGTGAACCTTTTGAAGCGATAGAATAGTATATTAGGATACAATCAAAGAATGAGGTTACACGTTAGCTTCTTGTATATCTTAACTCGAGCGACGACTCCCTCCTCTTCCTATTCTAGCCTCTGGCCCATGTCCCCACGCGCTAGCTTCCGCGGGGCCCTCTCTCGACGATCGACTACACTTCTCAGTGCAAGTCGAGGAGAAGCGCGAATCCTACATTTGGCCAACCCTGACTCTCCTTCGGCCCCCGAAGGATAATTAACATAAGGCTTCATGTAGTCCGCCGCCGACGTCGTAATTTCTGGCTCTTCGTTTCCGCTAATCTTAACGACTTCGTATCTATCATTGCCTATTATAGAAGACACTCGGTACGGTCCCAAATATTTTTGTTTAATCTTCGAGCCTGGAGCAAACTGAGTGCGTTGAATGACTACTAAGTCTTCCTTTTGATACTCGGTGGCTTTTTTTTCGACGTTTATCGTAACAACGCTTGTTCTCCGCTTGAACCTTTAGGATAGTCTGTTTCGCCGTGTTACGCAGTTCATTGCGCTCGTCATTAAAACATTGAATACATTCTTGCTCTATTAACGAACATATCTGTCCGTCTTCCCGATGTTTCATTTTTACGCCGAATAGTACTTTGAATGGACTCATACTCAGCTTCGCTGATATGTACTATTGATACATAGTTGCAACTTAGCTACGTGTTGATACCAACATTCGGGATTATCTAAGGATAATTTTGTTAACACTGGGATGATAATCCTATGAATGCGTTCAACTTGCCCATTACCGCGGGGCACACCAGTGGTTATAACGACGTGTTCAATGTTCTCGTTATTACAAAAATACTTAAAACTAAAAGAAGTGAAGGCCGTACCTCTGTCGGTTATAATACGTTGTCGATTGCCGAAAACTGACTGCATTTTAATCAACTTATCTAAAACCTCTTTAGTGTTCGTTGCTTAGTGGGATAAATCCACACGAATTTCGAGAACCCGTCGACTATCACTAACAGATATTTATAAAGCTTAAACGTCGATGTCATAAGTCCCAAGTGGTCGAGATGATATGTGTTTAGCGGAACATCACCTTTTGGAATAGGCCTTAGTTCACCTTCTTGTTTACCCTTCTTTTTCTCCGACAAAATACATGGAATACAACATTTTATTAAATTCTCTACTTTCTCTTTTAGTCGCGGAATGTAATATTCGTCTCGAATGGCTTCTATTACTTTTTTAGCCCCAAAATGTCCATTTTCATGCGCTTTTCTAATGGTGTCGTGATACATATTCGAGGGCAGAACGACAACCGTTTTATCGCCCATTTTTTTCATCAGCAGACCGTTTTCCATTACGTAATCTTCGTAAGGCTTCTTAAGTAGCAAATGTTTAATAACGCGTAATCGTTCTTCCTTATCTTGTTCATTCCTAATTGTCGCCAGCACCGTATCCTCAACGATCATGACCGGGAATCGACTGAGTGCGTCCACGTGTTTCATGCGTTCCCCTGGTCGATGCTCGATTTCGTAATCGAATTCTTCAAGAGCGAGTGCCCATCTGGCAACCTTAGGGGGTAAGTTTTCCTTGCACAGAGTTTTCTGAAACGCTTGGCAATCGGTTACAATCTTGAATCTAATACCATATAAATATACACGAAACTTTTGCTCGGCTTTAATTATCGCTAGGATCTCAAGTTCGTAGGAACACCATTTCTTTTCGGCACTTGTTTTGTGATTCATATAATAAACGGGATGGAAATCCTTCTCATCAACTCTCCTCTGAAGGAGTGTAGCCCCGTAACCTTGTTTACTGGCATCAGTATGCAACTCCGTGATCGTTGCCGGATCGAATATTCGGAGGACTGGATCTCTCGCCAAGACGTTTTTTAACTTATCAAATGCTAGTTGCTGAGTCGCCCCGAAATCGAAAGGCTGATCCTCCTTTATCTCTTACAATGGATGTGCTATTTTGGCATACCCCTTAATAAATTTCCTAAAATATCCGGTAAGTCCTAGGAAACTCTGTAACTGCTTTAACGATTTTGGTTTGGGAAAGTTCTATACGGCGTAGATTTTAGCTGGAGATGGTTTAACGCAACCTCTCTCAGTGACGTGGCCCAAGAACTCAACTTGTTTCTGTAAAAACTTGCATTTTTTCTAATTAATATTAAGGCCGTTGTTTGCTGCAACCGCCAGAGTTTTGGATAAATTCTTAAACGCGTCTTCATTATCATAGCCTCATAGATGATTAAGTCGTCCATATAAGTAAAAACTATCGATCTTTGAGTTAGCTCTTGGAACACCTCATCGATAAATCTTAGAAAACTAGTTGGACTATTACATAGCCCAAAAGGCGTCTTTATAAACTCGTATTGACCGCTCGGCGTGACGAAGGCAGTATATTTTCGACTTTCGGCTTCTACGGGTACGTGAAAGAATCCATTCTTAAGACCTATAACCGAGAATACTTGAAAATTCACCAGCGCGTCTATTTTATCTTCTATTAACAGCATCGGATACTTATCACGGATAATCTTTCTATTCAACAAACGATAGTCGATACAAACTCGAGTCGGTCCGTTTTTTTTTACGCACGATGACCACGGGACTGGCATATTCACTCTTGCTTGGTCGCACAATTCCTTCAGCTATCCACTCACGTATTTGCTGATCCACGATGCTCTTTTCTTGTAGGGCGAGTCTACGAGGGCGGAGATTGACCGGTGTTTCGTCCCTCAGTATGATTTTAGTCCACCGCCGTCTTCACGTCCTTCTTCGGGGTGTATTCCTTAATCAGCGCTCCGATCTTGCCTTTGTAAGGTTTGGCGACTTCCATCTCGTCGACAACATCACAGTTCATGACCTTTAGATCTTCGAACGGCGATTCGTCTGCCTGAGTTTCGTCGGTAGCTGGTTTTTCGTCTATAACAGCAACATCTCTCCTTGTTCTAAGTCGCTTGATTTCTGTACGTCCTCCCCGTATGGTGATCTCAGCAACTTTGAGGAAATCGCGTCCGAGAATTAGCTCCATGTCCGTCGGTGGGGATCACATGTGCTTCAACTTCATAGTCGTCATTCTCGATGGACACCCTTAGAGGAAGAGTACCGCTGGGTCTGATAATCGCGCTTCTTGGTTCGGTGAAAATTCGTGATGTGCCGCGTAATTTCGGTCTGCCTATCTTCTCGTACCAATCGTTTCGCAGCAGGCTTACATTACTTCCGGTGTCAATCAGAGTACGAAATTTCAGTCCTGCAATATCGACAAGGATAAATTTATCGTCGATGCTGCTCACGTAATTCACAGCGGACACTGGTGTCTCCTGTTGCTTAGCTTGAGGACATTTCGGCGCGATATGCCTGTATTCGTTGCATTTAAAACACTTGGATCCTTTGTCGGCCTCAGCACAACTTTTGGCGTCGTGCTCGGCTGATCCGCAGTTGAAGCAGCGCTTCTTAATTAGATGTTTATTTCCTGATTTGAATCGTGTACTCTTAGCGTCCATTGTACTGTCCTTGGCGCTTTCTTTTTTGTAATTATCTTTTCTCTGGTCTGCCGTGTCCTCCTCTTGATTCGATCCTACACTTCGAGACACTTCTTCAGTTCGCGTAACGTTATGGCACTATACAACGTTATTTTATTGCCTTCGTCGTCTTGTATTCCATCTACGATGTATTGGATTAGTGCGTCTTCTTCAATGTCGCCTTGGTCGGCTATTTCTTGCATCGCGTACTGTCTGCTGCTTTCATTAGGTTGACGTCTCCGTTTGTATAGCTGACTATGGACCATGGCGCTATTCAACCTAACCTTAAACTCTCTCTTTGGTTGATACTTCGAAATACTCCACGAGACGACACCTCTTTCAAAAGATATAAAACGTTTCGCCGATCCTGTCAGCATTCGTTTGCCGTACACTACTTTCTGTAAGTCATTCCACCTAAGCAGCGTACTCATATCTTCAAATTCAGCGATCTAATTCTTAATGGATAACTTGTCGTCACCCGAAAATTACGATAAGCTGCCTTCTGCATCTTTAATGGTGAAGTTGTTTTGCGGGGAAATCGTCCGATGTCGCGCTTTGCACCTTCGGCCGATAGGGGCGTTCATGTCGTCGTTATCGTCACTCATCCTAGCGGATGTCTGAGTCCTCCTGCACGTTGCGCGCTGACGTCGTGTGGCGCTCGGTTCGTCGCGATCGCTACGCCGCGCCTGATCGGCGCGCGCTTTTCCCCAGGCACCCCATATCCTTTCCGGCTCATCTCGGTCTTCTTCGTCGCTAGTCGCTTCGCTGTCCGTCGTTTCTTCGTCGTCTGCATTTCCTTCATCTTTATCCGCTTCGTAGTTCGTCTTTATCTCGCTCACGCGTCTTCCAGCTCGAGTGTTCTGTAATCTTATATGCAATTGAGCCTTGTTCCCTGTCGTCGATAGGTTCATTCTTCCCAATGCATCTTTTAACTCGGATATCTTCATTTCGTCGACATTCTTTTCAGCGATCTTCTTCGACTTTTGCATCTGATGCGGCTTCTTTCGCTCGATTGCGGCGCTGCTATGTGCCTCACCATCTTGGCCGTCGGTTCGATCGTCACGCATCTTGCTTTCCGCCATCTCTGCAGCCTTTCTTCCTACTTCTGATGTTTTGTCCGTTTCCTGGGCTTCGCTTCTTCTTCCTGATTCTTCGTCTGTATCGAGATCATCCGAAACTCGAATCGCGACCCGGTTGGTCGACTCAAGATCGCGTAAACACCTTTCGTCTTAAACGCACGACTTTACGTTGCAGTCACCTCACAACTTTTCTCTTCGCCTTTTTCAAAAGAGTTCACTTAACCACTCCGCCAGTTCGTTTATCTATATATCCCGGAGAGGCCCCCAATTTCTCTTATGTAGGATTTGACGAATACCCGACAGGTTGGGTATTATACAGTAAGCGTGAACCTTTTGAAGTGATAGAATAGTATATTAGAATATAATCAAAGAATGAGGTTACACATTAGCTTCTTGTATATCTTAACTCGAGCGACGAGTCCCTCCTCCTCCTATTCTAGCCTCTAGCCCATGTCCCCACGCGCTAGC